GGTTGGCAACCATGTACAAGCCCGATCCTCGCCTTCCACCAGACCAACAAATGATCCCGACCGTTGCCAAAAAGATTATGCAGGAACAGTGGGAGAAGGAAGGCCGGACACCGAACACATACGACCGTAACTTCGCGCCCCTCGCAGTACACCCATCGGATGCGCCACCTGTAGCCACCAAGGTCGAGCCAGAAGAGCAACCGGTTGAGTCTCTACAGCTCGAAGAGTTGCCGCCCCAGCCGCCAAAGAGCCCAGAACCACCCCGCCCGAATACAAGTACCGGCTACAGCACCATGCCCAAAGTGCAGGACACACCGCCAATGGGACTGACACCCAACCCCAACCCTAACTGGAGCCCTCCAGTTGTCACTGCTCAGCCGCCGCCGAAGAAAGAGAAGAGCTGCGGATGCTGCATTGTGATGTGATGGACAACCACTCTACAACTGTCTGTCCTGTCTCCCGTCCATTCCCCCAACATACCTGTGATATTTGCACATCTGCTAGATTCCCTTCTCTGTTATTTTTTTGTTCTATTTTATTTCCAGCGTCTCCGGTGGGATGGTGTTTTGTCGGTTCTGTTCTGTGACTTTATATCCCGCGATCTAAGGCATTTCTTCGCCCCGAGTTCAATTTTCTTCAGACTGCTTTTTAATCCGGCTTCCTTCTTCAACACCAGAGCATGGCTGTTCTTGTTTTTCTCTCATGCATCCATTCCTTGATATTTCTCTTCTCTTCTCCTGTGACCATTGCTATTTTTACCGAAGTGGTAGGAGGGAACTCCAAAAAGCTCGCTCCAGATTGCGATGGATGGGATGGGAATGAGATGAGGGACTCGCACCTCGCAAGACACGTAACTTGTGGCGTGCGCCTCTTTCTTCTCATCCTACCTGCCTGTGACTTTCTTAACCCTATGATTTCCTTTATTTTCTCCAATCTTTGGATTTCTCTCTGAAACATCTTTGAAGCCTGTTTTTCCATATTCCCACGCCTTCTTGCTAGCGATTTCTCCTCTTTCTTTGGTCTGATCTGCTTCTTGGCGACAGAAGTCTTGTCCCTGGATTTGCTTGCATTTTGAATGCCAGATAATTGCTTACGGAGCTAATCAGATATCGAGTCTAATGGATGAATACATAAATGTACCTGCACGGAATTGCTATTTGTACTTGTAAGTGTGTAGATACCGCACCAACCGGCCTCCTAGTCCCAGATATCTCGAATTGTACTTTGTAGCTATCTGCGTAAAATAGCCCTCTAACCATTACCCAAACAAGAGAAACAGAAACAAGCTTGGAAGAGTTTCGGCCTGGACCTCGGGGAGCTCCCCAGCTGACAAATATCACCTGACATCATCGCCGCGTTCAATCCCCGAAATCTGACGGAATAGCCAACCAATATCCTCTCATCTTTCCGTACCCCGCCCCGAAAAACTTATAAAAAGAGACACCACTGCCTCTTCCCTTTTTGACAACAAACCGCCCACCATTTCGTCCATCTTCACCCGTCTTTTCGGCTCCTTCGCCGGCCCAAATCCCGCCGCCATGTCCGCCGCAAAGACCCGCGCTCAGTCCCTCATTAACGACAACGCTGTCGTCGTTTTCTCCAAGTCATACTGCCCTTACTGTGACTCCTCCAAGAAGCTGCTTGACAGCTTGAATGCTAAGTACACTACTCTCGAGCTGGATCTGGAGGGTGAGTCTCTCTTTGCTCTTTGCATTGCTGTTTGTATTCTTCTCGAGAAGAGTAGATTTAGCATGATTTGTTTATATTCTTGATACATGTTTATCTCTTTTTTAAAATCAATCGCTAACGTGAGTTTACCACAGAGGAGGGAGCTGCCATCCAGAGCGCTCTTGCCGAGATCTCGAGTCAGCGCACCGTGCCCAACATCTTCATCAACAAGAAGCACATCGGCGGCAACTCCGACCTCCAGGGCAAGAAGGACCTGAAGGATCTGCTCAAGGAGGCTGGTGCCATCTAAGCGGCGATGTCACACAAGCAAGAATCTCCCGAGGCCGAGTCTTGAATATAAGCTAAGGAAATAGCCTTTTATTGTACAGCCTTTACCTCCTATCTACATGTGTAGACTTCCTTCTTACGTCTCGTAGACATATGTAACGCGGAAAATATTCCCATGGCCTGGAATTGGAGTTGCCAATCTTCCAGCGTCGAGTGGAGCATTGTCATACAGCTCTGGAATATTTGTAGAGCCAACAGGGGGGAAGGAAGTGAACAGCGACCAACTAACGTACAGGTATGTTAATACAAAGATAAAACCAAAATCATAGTGCAAGAAAACGCATCAGATAACCTTCTGCACAACGGTCCCAAGGGGCCTTTCAACAATCGACATCAACCCTTCGACAATACTCGTCCGGGCCCCCTCACTCGAAACAGTCTTGCCAGCCAGATAATTCAACCAAACCAGCCGACTAATCCGCTCATCAGCAACGCGCCCCATCCACTTAACCGGCTTATCAGCCCCAGGCTGGAAAAGCGCATCCAAAGCGCCGTGCGCATCGCGCATGAGGACAAGTGTCTGTCCCTTCGGCACAGACTTCCCCTTCCCGGCACCAAAAACAGCCTTGAAATCATTCATCGAGCTTCCAAAGCTCTCATCCTGGAACTCGCCCGGCTCTGCAGTTTTCTTCGCCTGCGCGCGCGCAGTGATACCACGCACCCAGCCGTCGCGAAGGTGCATAAAGTCCGTGTTACGGGTGGGGACGATGCGGAATGCAGTGCGGATACCGTTATCCTTGATGATAGCAGACCAGGCGGCTTCACCGTGTTCGGGGTCAAGAAGAAGCTCCCTTAGCTGCTGACGCTCCGGCGAGACGAGGGAGGTAGCGGCTGTTGCGCCGGCGCCGGAAATGGCGGCGTCGTCGTCGGTAGTGGGTGGGTGGATTGCTGTGCGCAGCAGACGTCGTTGTAGCTCGGTTATGTCGGATTTCGCGACGTACAGGCCGACCACGTAGACTTGGATTGAGAGGAAGGAGACGGTGCGGATACCGAGGCCCAGCAATTGGTATTCTTCGCCTGTGGATGGGGCTAGATCGTCGCCGGTTTGCTTGCCTTCTGTTGCTTCGGAGGTGGGGAGTCGGATTGTGCTTGGGAAGGTGGGGATTGTGCTTGTTCCTGTTGGCACCTGCTCCAGGCTGTCTTGGCCTTTGATTGTTATTAATGATGGGCCGCCGTTGGTGAAACCGACTGGTCCGTCCATGCGCATTGCGCCGTCCCTCGGGGGTGTGGTTTTGTCGTCTTTGTTGGTATCTAGTTCGTCAAGGCCGAATAGGTCTAGCTTGATAACACCATAGAGACCAGCTGCGCAGGTGATTATGCCAGCTGCAGAGAGGATCATCTTCCGCTGAGCTTGGGAGGCATGCTGGAGATCGGCCGCTGCGGATGCTCGGGAGCGGAGCGGGTTATTGGTTGCATTGGAGCGGAGGGGGGTGGTGGAGATATGCCGGAAGGAGAGGCGTGATGTGCGAAGTTGTTGCCGGGTGATGCTTTGGTAGGCCCGCCATGGGTTCTGACGGAGGGTGGAGGCCATTTTGAGCTTGGTTCGTTTGATGAGGAATCTCGAGGGCAAGGATTGGCGGGTGACGGAGATGGAGTTGTGGGGATGCACGTGATATGGTATGATCTACATAGTATACCGTCATGTATCAATATAATTTTGATGGGATAAGATTGTGTTCTTTTTTTTCCAATTGCTAGACTGATAGCGTTCTATCTATGTGCAGACACCATCGAGTGCCTTGTATTTATCCTAGGCCAAGGTTGTTTACACAGTGCAAGTCAAACTACGAGTCTATGGGCTACAGAAGCATTTACAAAAACACAGGACATATTGAAGTAGAATACCAAGTTCTATTGAAGCTCTAGATTAGGGACTTGC